ATAGATAGATAGATAGATAGATAGATAGATAGATAGATAGATAGATAGATAGATAGATAGATAGATAGATAGATAGATAGATAGATAGATGTAATACAAGTGTTTTAGCAGCAAATGAAAAATATTTATTTATTCTAGTAAATTTTCTGACAAGCTCAAATTCGCTATTTAAAGTGTCGTTCCTCCGGTTTAAATAAAGGAGGGGTGGAAGCAGAATAGACGTCAACCTTGCGTGATGACGTCACCAAGTTCTCAGTCTCTGCTTGTTGTGGCTCCCTCTGCGCTGCTGCTGGAGTTAGCTTAGAACTAGAGGAAGGTCTGTTAGTCGTGACAGTGAAAACGGTGGTTTTCCGAAACTTTTTCGATTCACAGCGGTTCCTGAAAGACTGGGAGAGAGTTTCAGTCGAGTCTTGGATGCATGGGAGTTCCCTGGGAGCCGCGAACGGAGAAGGTAGGCTTCGCCGCTGCAGCCGCCACCGCCTCCTGTCGTCTCCTGGACCGCCAGGGCTTTTCAGTTCAGCCCCGGCGGCCCGACTACCGCATTGCTGCCGACAGAGCTGGGAAAGACTGGTAGTGTAGGCCCAGCTAATTTGGAGCCCTAAGAAGTGGATACGTCGATGTCGTTCGTTTTGGTGTAACTTTATTGGCGTTAGTCGATGGTTTTTGATTATTAAAGCACCGAATGCCAGCAGTGCTGCGGACTCGATGTGTCATACTGGGATTGCGTGTATTTTACAGTACGCATGCGTCATGTGGAAATTTATAGGATCTCAGTTTGAACTATTTGTCTCAACAATGGCTTATCAATGCACACGTTGTTTGTATATAGCACAAACATTAATTTGCACTTAAATAAGCTCAACACTAGTATGAATGAACACACTTCATGTGTGGTGAAGGCATGCTGTTTTCACCCATATTTAGTTTATTTGTTATGTCAGTGGGTCACCSTCCATATGCACTCTGTGCTAATGTGTCATGACATTCAGTAGCGATTTAAAGAGCAGACCCACAGAATGGTAGCTGTWCTGTACATCTTAAGACATCACATCATTTATCCTGAAGATAGACAGTGTCGTTGACACGTGAAGCTGCAACAGCATGCTGGATGTAGGTGGGTTTTGTATCCCTGCTTCAAGACGAGACTCTTAAGGCCAATTTATCCTGCTCRCATAGCCAGCTCACTAACAGAGCCAATCCAACTGAACTGGACTGTGGTGAGTTTGGGTTAGGGATGGTTTTGTGAAGGTCACTGCTCCTATCAGCTCTCCCTGCAGTAATACTAACAAAAACATGAAGCATACAATCAAAATTTGGAAAACAATGTACTATTCTTCATTTTTTTTCATTCATAAATCCCATTTGGAGAAGGTCACAAATATATTGAATTTAGCAAAGTGTTGAAACAATCTTCATTATTACAGTAATTTTAGTCACCATACTGATACACCACAGGGCTGTGTATTGGAAAAACATTGGTGATATGCTACATATCATGGCATAGGGGTCACACTAAACTACATGGCAGTAAGCAAGGTGATGTATTGCCACTTTCTGCAAAAGATCCTGATTTAACAAGACTCAATATAAATTGTACCATGAATTACACATGCATACAATCTGATTCATTCAGTTTATTTAAAACAACCAGAATAAGACTGAACAACTGTGAGATTTGTATTTCACGTTTTTTTATTTATTTATTTTTTTTACATTGGTCAATTATGCCTCAATTCAAAATCAATACAGTATCAGGAAATAAAAATTTCAATATTTCAGTGTATCGATATTTTCTCCCAACCCTACGTTATAGTAATTTTTGTTTGTTTGTTTTTGGAAATGGTTCTGGAAGCTTTTCCATTTGAACGATGCTCTTGTGCAAGAAGGAGAGCCAAAGATTGTCAAGAAAACCTGCCAAACTAAAGCAGTTTTAGTGTTTGTAAAGTAATAAACTATTCCTCATAAGGATCTCATAAATGTATTTTTTATAATTAAATCTGCATAATACTCAGTGTAAACATATTTAACTAGAAAATGATCCTGACACTTCCATCTTTCCTCTTATATACCCAAGGAATACKCAAAAGTAAGAAACGGGTTACAAAACGGACACAATTAGCTGAACTAATTCTCATTGAAKACATAACTGGCTACTTGTTAGGGTTGGCCGATAAATCGATTTAATTGATTAATTCGAATTTGTCATTTGTAAAGATTTAATTTTGGGGAAATCTGGATTTTTTTTTCTCACCAGTGCACTCTTTGGGGCTTCTGTAGTTCAGAGGTTACCCCACCTGTCCCTCAAGACTCTTGGTACAGGACATGACAATATGGCAGCTAGTAAAGAGGGTTTAATCCCCCCCCACCCAAAAAAAGGCACTGTTTCTTCAGTTTTCTGGAACTGGTTAGGTTTTGCAACAATCACCTCACTGCAAAATCTGTTTGAAGGCTCTTGCTACAAAAAGCAGGAGTACAACAAATGTGTTTCAACGTCTGAAACAGAGGCACTCCGTTAAGTGGAAAACAAAATCAATTAAAATTGAAAATCAAATTTGGGATGAAAAAAAATTATTTTTTTTTGGGTGGGGGGGCATATTGCCAGCCCTACTGCTTGTTTACCCACTCTTGCTTTAATAATGTTTGTGAAAACATTTTTCTTAACTGCATCCCTCTTTGTAATCATTTTAAGCCGACAGTTCCCTTTTTCTTTTACTATGAACTGTGTTTTTTTTTAATCCAAATTTACTGGTGCAGCTGTGTCATGWTGATGACATCATCACTGTGGATTAGAAATGTGATAGTGATTAACACTGTGACTCACCCACCTTGCAGTGAAACCTCACTGGTTTGGGTTTTTCATTAATCAATGCTTATTTGACTGCGTATCACAAATTTCCCCTTTACATGCTAATCTGCTTGTTAGCGAGTAACTAATTGCACATTTTCTTCTCTTGTTTTGGCCGAGACAAGTCTTGCTTATAATTAATGGTCCCCTCCCCCCACGAGTGTGTATGTGAGAATCAATACAATCAAACTAACTGTATTGCAGTTTCCAAGCCTAAATGTTGGAATATTTCATTTATAATGCAGGGTAAAATAAAACCTTTACTTTTTTGTTTGTTTTTTCTGTGTACAGTCATAACACAACCTTTTTATTTGGATGAAGCATGGTCGACTCGTCTGCATGTTATAATTTAATTTTTTATTTTATAAAAATGTATCTGCCAGGCTGTTTGAGGGGGAAACTGGGTGGAGTCCAGAAAAGACCAGATAAGTGAGATGCCAGTGGCATAAAAAACAAGACACATCAAATAGAAAGAAAAGAGAAAAAAAAGAAGTTGAGTCTTTTGCAGCTCTGCCTAAACTGGATGAAAAAAAAAAAGAGGCAAAACTATCAGAAAAGCTGAAGAAGAATGTAGATAAACATGAGAATGTTTTTATTTTTTATTCATTAATTTTTTTAGTTCATGCTACAGTTGCAGGCCCACAGTTCATGCAGAATGTCTTAAAATGTTTGGGTTTTCAATTTGAATTTCAATTTTTGTGAGTGTGTTTGGCACTTAAATTTTTAACACGTTGAAAGAATTTGGTTCAAGAATTTTCTCTTAGAACAATTTCGTAATGTGGATGTCTTGAATCTGTCTCAAACTCTTCTCAAATGAATTTGCATAACTGTAGAGCAGAGGTATCCACCCAGGGCTGTTCCTCGGGGCCCACTGTCCTGCATGTTTTAGTTCAGGGGCACCCAAATATTTTCCCTGAGAGGGCCAAAATGAAAATCGATCTGAGGGCTGCAGACCAAATGCAATAATATAATACATGAAATGAAAATACTTCTTAAGTAAAGTTGTTTTATTTTTTTATGATTAAGCTAGCAGCCCACTTTTTTTCAGGAAGTTTCACGTACACTTGAGCAGCAAAAGCTCATGGTTTCATTTGTGGTCTTATAAAGTGTGCAAACCTAGATGTGTATTTAAATCTAATCTAAACATCTCTTGTAGTTTACTTGTATTTTACATTTACTTCTAAAATAATTCAAAGATAAAGTAAGTAGGCTACCGTGAGTTAAGACTATCGGCACTACAGCCTAGTGGTTGGAATGGCTAAGTGGAAATATAGTGCTTCTACATAAAACAGGAGAAAACAACCTAGTAGCAGGACAACTGCTGATGGGCCAAATCAGATGGCTTTGCAGACCAATTTTGGCRCATGGGTCCCATTTTGGGCACCTCTGATTTAGATTAGGGGTGTAAGAAAATATCGATACACTGAAATATCGCGATATTTCATTTCCCGATACTGTATCGATATTCTAAAGCCCTGTATCGATTTTTAATTAAGGTTTAAAATGACAACCTTCTTGCCAACAGTTCATTTTTATGTTGTAGTTCAGCCTCTGACCACGAGTTGGCAGCAGTGAGCCAGCTATTTGGCTACTCTACCTCTTGAGTGCTAGAGAGTAAGGGTAGCATTAGCATCGTAAGTAAACATTAGCTTTACTTTTTTTTTCAGTAAGAGATTTTTATTTAATAGAATTTTTGGGAAAAAAAACCGCAATATATCGCAATATATTGCCTTGCTTACAGTATCGCAATATATCGGGATATATTGTATCATGACCCCTCTGTTATGATATGTATTGTATCGCCAAATTCTTGCAAATACACAGCCCTAATTTAGATGATTGCCTGCTTTAACACATCTGGCTGAAATGACTGAGACATTGACAGGCTTCTGCTAAACTTTATGAAATTCTGTGAAGATAAATCTATAATTTGAATCAGGTGTGTTAAAGCAGCTAAACGGCTAAAACATGCAGGACAGTGGGCCACAACGACCAGGGTTGGGGACTTCRGATTTAGAGTGCTGACGTAGGAACTGTCCTCATGGCAGAAAACATCTGAGGCTACAACCTTTAAGGTCCTGGTATAAAACCACGCCAGTTATAAATGATAAATACAAGAAACCCATTTAAATCTGTTTATCTTTATTTCAGAAGTGTGCTCTTGTAGATTAAATCATAAATGTGGGAGCTAACTGCTAAGCTAGGTAAAAAGTACAATGTAATAAAAAAATAATGTGCATGGCCTAGAATACAGTTCTGCAAGACAAAACTCAGCTGCAGTTTTCAAAAACAGGTTGCTTGAAACTGAGCCACACAGCTTTCTTATTAGTGAGAAGGTGATGGAAATTTAGTCAGTTTTCTCAAAAGTTTGTTGTTGCCACTAAGACTCTAACAATCAGAGTCCAGTGACACTACCTCTAATAAAGATAATATCACAAATGTTGCTTCCTCAACAAAATCCCACATGAGGGAACACAACTCATCAAGGAGTGTGTAACTACAAAATAAAGTTCACTGTGTAATAAAAATGACTTGACCAAATCCAGAAATGCCACTAAATTTTCAGAGCCTTAAGATAGCCTCCAGTGTGTTCTGCTAAATCTCTCTCTTTTTTTCATTTAATTTTTTTTCTCTTTTTTTCGAGATTAAGGATGCAGCATCCTCCAGGCTAAAGATTTGAGACAACAGTCTAGGGTTGGGCAATATTGGCAAAATAATTAATCATGATTAATTGTGATATTAAGGCGATAACGATTCATTTGATGATTAATCCTCTTGAGTCCATGGACACCCTTATGTCTTAGTCACATGACCAGTTTAGTGGGAAAGATTCGTAAAAATCTGTTCCAAATTGTGTCAAAATTACAGACTTCAGGCTATACATCAAATTTTTAATTGTGTTGATAGATAAATAAATTACACAACTTTTTAAAAAAATTTCATCATGTTTGAAGTGGGAAGGAGCACCGAGCGGACTGAAATCTCCAGTCCATCTGCCTGGTGGCATAAATCGCATTAATCYTCGAGTGCCAAAAAAATAATCAATGTTTTTCTGACGATTAATCGCACACAATACGATTATGCCCAGCCCTACAACAGTCTCCGTCTTTGTTCAAAAGCCAGTCTTCTTCTGATGATGGTGCATCACTGCACACTATAAACCTCTGTAAAGATTTACAGTATACTGAATTATATAAACAGGTTTAGAGCAGCTTGTGTTTCCTTTTAGAAAATGTTACTGATGGATTGTCAAATCCCTCAATCACAACAAAACAGCTCTGAAGCAAGAATTTGTAGTTAATCTGGTCTACGTTTTAAACCTGTTCAGAATATTAAAAAAAAATTGCGGGGTAAATAGAAAGAATGCCTCGTGCTTTTAACTGCTTGCTACAAAATGAAAGTTTAAGTAGAAATGAAAAGACAAAATTTAAAAAAAAAAACACACTTGATCTCCTGTAACTTACTCTTATCTGAAAAGAAAATGTACAAGGAGTTAAAATAGTTTACAAAGTAGTGCCTTTGTTCAATTGAAAATATTGTTTATTCAGTCACTGAAAACATATTTAATCCTAAAAGAGTCTGTTTCAGATTTAAAAAATGTATTTCACTTTTCCTTTGATTTTGTATAAAATGAATGCTTTAGTTTTACAGACAAGGCAACAAAATGTTTTCAGGCTCTGTTCAATCATAAAATCTCCTCTGTTGTTGCTTTGTGTTTAGGATTTTGTCTGTGAGCATCCAAACTGACCCGTCTTTGTGTTGTTTTTATCCTGTCATGCAAAGATGAAGAAAAAAAATCACCCTCAGTTTAACTTGTGGCTGTTTTTTGAACGAATGACAAACGAACATTACTGCTCGCTGTTGCATAGCTACACAATGGTGTGTGTTTTCGCCCACATACAAGCACACACACACGTACACAAACAAGTGCCAAGAATAATACCCCTCCACTTCCTGCCATGTGAATCAGTGCAAAGCTGCCGGTGTTCTTATGAACCCTCAAACACGTCGTGTGTTTCTTTACATGTTTGTACTCAGAATTCGAAGCAGTTTTGCTAAAACATTCTCACACCATGTTCAGTGTGTGTTGGTGTGTGTCTGTACTGATGATGACTATGTCAGCCTGTGTGTGGAGATGGCAATGAAGAGCCTCGGGAACACTAGGCTGTCAGCCTCCTCTGTTCTCCATGATGCTCACACACAGTCACACACCAAAACACCAACAGCTTTGACGTCAGCAGCAACCCACTCGTACTGTTGACCAAACTGGGCAGAGAGCCGTGATAGATTGTCTGGCTTCAGACCCATCGGAAAATCAAACGAGTAATCCTCTAACCGTGGAGCAGCCTGAGCTCACTGTTTTGAGTTTTTAGTGAGAAACTGATGCGTGTTTGTGTGTGTTTGACTCTGCAGACAGTCCTGGTGGTCCTGACTGTTCAGCAGGATGAGTGAGGCCGACGGACAGTTCTACAGTGTCCAGGTGGGAGACTCCACCTTCACTGTCCTCAAGCGCTACCAGCAGCTTCGTGCTATCGGCTCCGGGGCCCAAGGCATTGTCTGGTGAGAGGCTTTTGCTTGTTTGATAGTGTTTGTGGTTTACCATGACTCTTTCAGCGTCTCTGCTTTCCCTACACTAATGCCTGAAACATACTCGCTGCGAACTGTCGACGTCGGCACGGGTTGTCGCAGTTTAATGACAAAAATTACGTCACCGGACTTCTCAGCGTCGTGTCGACAGCCCCTTTTGGCACAACCCGCCGGCAGAACTTTTTGACCCTCCTCCCTTGTCGACGGTAATGTGTGATTGGTCTGATTGGTCGTGGGCATGTTTGTTTGTGCTGCGCTCGGGGAAAAAAAAAAGAAAGAGAACGACTCGACTCGCTCCCAGACTAGAAAGCAGAGTTTTATAAGATAGTCAAACCGTGAAAAACTTATGGCTTGTTTGTTTGTGCTGAATGCGCTGCTGCACTCGGTAAAAAAAAAAAAAGAGGGGTAAAAAAAACCAGACTCGCTCCCAGAGCCGACACCAGGAAGTAGAGTTTTATAAAGAAAGTCATTCCGTAAAAAACTCATGAATGGAGATAAAACAGACATTGTGCACGGAGGAATCTGACTGATAAAAACTGTGGAGCTTTAACCAGGACAGATGTGGATAAATACATCTAGTGAGTCTGAGTTTTTTTTCTGCATCATCGGCTGTTACAGGGGAACTCCATGCAGTGACGTATGTTTCAGGGAGGGGGGTTTCCCGAAATCTGCGCAGGGGTGTCGTAGGGACTATGAAAGGTCTGTGCGAAAACGACTGCCGAACCACCACGTGACCGCGCGTCGACCCGTCYGCYTCGGAGCGAGTATGTTTRAGGCTTTAGAATGACTCGCTAAAGTATTATGGCTAATAGCGGAGCTAATTTCTCATTTAGCGGGTTAGCTTTTGTGCTAACTTTGGAAACTGTTAGCCAACCAATTAGCTTCCACTAAATAGGGTTCTGCTAAACCACTAAAAAATACATTGTGTAAACTTTTTTTATGCCATTTATCCCGAATTAAGTAAAAACAATCCCCTTACAAGCGTTGCTGGAAGTATCAGCCACAGTGTGTAGCATGTATCATCTTTAGCAACTAAACTTAAAACAAGAGCCTCAAAAAGAAATCATAACATTTAACAATATTTTAAAAATAAATACAAAAATTGACTACATATAAAATATGATAATAATGAAAGTATTTGTTATTTGACTAACCTCAAATGGAATTCATAAAAATACAAACTCATGTTCAGCATAAATTTGTTAAATAAATGAACAAAACCATCAATCTTTCCCAAATTTACTGTAGCTTGACCACTTCCTAGTCAAGCTGAAAATTCTCCAGTTAAAGTAAAAAGCAACTTTCTACTTTCACGGCAAATAAAAAAAAATACTGCTCCACTTGGGTGTTTCTCACGTGTGATTGGTCAAATGCAGAGCACAAATTTCATCAATGCATGGGAACATGCATGGATGACAAATAAAGTACCATTTACCATTTAATGTAATATGTATTTTGCCTAATTTAGTTTTGGACATTTTGACATCTTTAAAATCATTTTTAATTTTCTTTTGCATTTTAAAATGTCATGTCTTGTGCTTTTCATCAAAAACAAAGAGATTAAACTTCCCCTGAAACGTCTGCCATTATGGTTGAAATAACCTTTGGATGACATCTTTCTAAAAAAAAAAAGTGGTGTGAATAAAAAAATAATTAAGCTTGAACCAAATCACTCATCTTTCAGGGTCTGCATTATTAATTATTTCAGTCAGTTCTTTATTTGGCTCGTGTGGTGTTACGTTATTATGTGTGGTAATAAAAATGCTTCTTTTTGGCAACTTGATGGGCTCAGATTGTTGACATAATCATGTAAAATATTCATTTATTATTACATCAAGCATGTTTTCATGTGTTTTTTATATTTCTGGTTGTAAAGAACACATTTTACTTGTGATGGGAGGCTAAATATAAATAAATTGATCTTTTTATCAATTAGTTGTTGTTACATTGATTGCTTGAGCCTTTTTCTTTTATGCCTCTTTGAGAAAATGAAATCCATAATAAACCTTATATCATTTTTTAGATAAATGCAGACTGATAGAAAGCTAATTTGTTTTCACCTCAGGGAAGACAAATTAGTTTTTTACTAGACTGAATGATGAATTTAGTTGCTGATCTTTGTCTCTGTTCTCTCCTTTATGTGTCCAGCTCTGCCCTAGATACAGTCCTCAGTATACCAGTGGCTGTGAAAAAGCTCTGTCGGCCCTTTCAGAACCAGACCCATGCAAAACGGGCCTACAGGGAGCTCGTGCTACTGAAATGTGTGAACCACAAAAATGTAAGACATGATTTCATGCAAGGATTTCATTTTTTTAAAAGATGTGTCTGATTTGTATTTTTCTGTAGAGATACAAAGCATGCCAGCAAATAAAAGAAGGTGGTTATTAATTTAAATCTGCAAGATGATAAAATATTAATCAGTTCTAAAATATCGAAAAATTTCATCAAACCCAAGTTTTTATCAGGAAACGACTGGAAGCTGAAGTGTTAAAAGTACTCTGAGAGAAGAAYAGAGTCGACTCTGCACTGCTGATACAGTTTCTCTCTCAGAGTGAAGTGAATGTGAGCAGAACAAAGTGAACTAATGGCTTGTCTCTCTGCTCGCAGATCATCCGTCTGATCAATGTTTTCACGCCTCAGAAGTCTTTGGAGGAATTCCAGGATCTGTGAGTGACAGTGGAGTTTCTTTTAGGCTTTAAAACAGCTCTGCTGTGAAATCTGAATATTTTAGCTGAAGTGTTTTAAAATGTTTTTTTTTTTTTCATTTTAACTAAAATCTTCTACTTTAATTGCCATTCTCCTTCTCTGCTCTAAGTGTTGAATACTCTCTTCTTGTACTTTAATTTGACACGTTAGCCCAGTCATTTACTTTAACTCCCCTGTTTCGTAGGTATCTGGTAATGGAGCTGATGGATGCCAGCTTGTGTCAGGTGATCCACATGGACCTGGACCATGAGAGGATGTCCTACCTGCTCTACCAGATCCTCTGTGGCATCAGGCACCTCCACTCAGCTGGCATCATCCACAGAGTAAGTACAGCTGATGGCTTTAAAGGGCTGCTTATACTTCAATAACAGGTAAGATGTTGGATCTTGCTGATGTGAGTTAAGATCGTTTATTTTGCAAGGACAATTCATACTCAAAGAGTGTCGTATTTATTCTTGTTTAATGCGTTTCCAGTATAATGCAGCTCTCATTTTTTTTTGTCTAAAAAGCATAAAACAGTGTAATCATCATGTATAGTGCTACCACTAATTTCGGACAGACGTCAGGACTTTTCAGGCTTCGCGGTGCATCCTCTGGAGGGGGAACATTTGGGGACACAGTCTTGTGGGCGTGTTTGTTGCTGCAGTGCAAAGACTGCTGATGACGAGCAGCGCTAGCTACAGGTTCTGCTTGTCACTGAAAAGCTACCTGCTCCCAGAGCAGAAGCCGGTTGTTAAATTATCAAGATGGACTTATCAGAACACGAACGTGCAAATAACGTCCAAGTCTTCTTCTCATTGCCGCGGTTAACATGAAAAGTTGTCTTTTGGCTCTGTTTTAACAGTAGGAGGGAGGAATGATGATGATTTATCCCCCTCGACACAGTATTTCAGTTATYTACTAGGGGTGTCCCMATCTGATATTGATATTGAATATCTGTCCGAAATCAGCCAAAAAACAAGTATTGGATTTTATCGACCTGCATAAAGAATCTCTGATAAAAGCACTCCGATATAAGCAGTCCGTTCCAGCAGTCCACTGAATCCGCTCCAGCATTTCTATCCAGCAGCGCTTGGATCCAGCATGCAGAGCCCATGTGATTACAACATGCTGCGCTAACAAAGTAGCAAGAAGTAGGAGTGATGTCAGCAGTACTTTCTATTTTCATCAAAAACAGAGTTGAAGCTAAGTGCAAAAMTGTCATGCACAAGTTTTCTGTGTGGGAACAGAACCGTGTAGGTTTTAAACCGGAGAGACAACCAGGCTCTGCCCTGGCAGCAGCTATGCTGTTCGACTCAGTTTGGCTTCGGTCCAGTGTGTCTCCATGGTTCCAACCACGCTGTTTCAGAACSTTTTCTCCGGTCCGGTCGGTAGTTCTCGGGCAGAAGCGAGGACAGCACGCTTACGGTTTTGACATCAGCAGAATGCTGCCCGTGGATTAGCTCTGGGATTGATGGACAGAAAATGGAGAGCGCAGATTTTGTTTTGGAAAACGAGCGTGCAGTGCTAAAAACTGCTCCCTGCAGGAGCGAAATCTCCACATGACCGGACTGTAGAAAGTGGAAATGCAGCAGTAAGAAAGGTAGCTATCAAATTAATTCACTGACTAATTCTTACTATTTATTTTCTGCTCTTGTTATTAGTGATGTTTAATCTGTTTACACACTTGTTTTAGTGAAGATTAAGTGCAATGATCACGTTGTTTTGGGCACAATCAGTAAAATAGGAACTGTGGACTCTTAACTTTGAACAGTTGGACACAGGACAATAATGCGGGGTTTTGTTTTGTCCCCACCTTCAGTTTTTCCCACCATAAAGCAGCACCAGGCTGACAGTAAAAAAATAACTGGAGTGATTTTGAATTTTTTACACTTTAAAAGTAKCTTTTGTTTTTATTATGTTTTATTTTCAGGGTCTTCTAATTTATTTAACTTAATTTATTAATTTGTATAATGTTCTTCAGTTTAAAATGTATGTTATCCATTAGTTAAAAATAAAWGGGTCAATATTTCTCATACCTACTCTTTTTCACTGTTTGATTTGGTTAAGTCTTTTCTAAGATTTCACACTACAAATGAGGTAAAAGTGTGTGATTCGTACTGATATGGTATTGGGTCAATATCGGCATCGGCCAATTCTCAAAATTGCAATACTGGTATCATATCGCAAGTGAAAAAGTTATATTGGGACACCCCTATTATATACAAGAAAGTATTAAAACGTATTGTGGTAGTACATTAGAAAAAAGTTGGTCAAATTTTGCTCCCATGTAATATGACCCCCCACCCCAACTTTATGGATGATTTTTGGATTAAATTCCTCACATTGTACTCTCAAAAATACAGTAACTGCAGAAGAAAAGTACTGTTAAAATCCACCCACTGTCGTCCCACTTCAGCACACCTCACACTCAAACTGAATCCACTCAGCCAGTGCGTTTACCCGAGCGGATGTTTATTTTTCATTTGATGGTGGAGGCATTGGAAGAGCTGGTCTTTCTTGTGTGAACTGAGGAGGAGTGCTACTTTATTGTGTAAACTTGTCACCAAGACACTGCCACTGTTTCCAACATACACTGTGGGAACATGTTCCTACGCTGTCCCACTGAAGCACACTTTCTCTCTGTCGGCGCAGCAGCAGAGAGCCGCTCTGACTCTATGCACAAAGGTTGTGCAAAAGTTTTGCTGAAACAACTGTAATGATGGCTGTATTTTCTGACAGCCTCTTTCAGCTGCTCRTCAGTACATGCCACTCAGAGATCATCTCACTGCAGCCAGTTCTCAAAAACAAACACACCCACAAAGTTCTGCCTAGTCACATAATGCTCAGTGCATAGTAAGAAACTAGTTCTGACTGAGGGCAATGCCACAGATCAGGATCTGAGTTCGGGGTGTGAACKATGTCAGCAAGACACAACTGTGATCTATAAACTTGTAGATTATAAACCAGCCTTAAAGTGTGATGCAGTGAAAAGRACACTTTACAAACTACATTGGTACTTTTAAGAGTAAATGACCACTTTTACATTATTAACGTTCATGGAACGTTGTAATATATAACAGTTTTGTGTCTATTGAATGAATTGATCATTCAAGTTTAACCCCCCAACATTTCTCTGTAAATTATTAGCTTGTGTAATGTTCTCTTTTGCATATTTTCCTGTAGATTTATAGATTTTCTGTCCCCTCAGGATCTGAAGCCTAGTAACATAGTAGTGAAGTCTGATTGTACTCTGAAGATCTTGGACTTTGGCCTGGCGAGGACAGCCTGCACTAACTTCATGATGACCCCCTACGTGGTAACCAGATACTACCGAGCCCCCGAGGTCATCCTGGGCATGAAGTATAAGGAGAATGGTAGGTGCAGCTGTGTAAGATAAGTTATCTTTCAAATGTTGACATGAGTAGACAAAGATTTCACAATACAACAGCATCTTCACAGGAGCTCCAAAATGTAGACGAAGTGAAAGTCATTAGAACAAAAGAGAGAAAATAATCCTCTTGGTCTTTTTTTTTTTTCTTTTTCTTACAGTCTGAAGTCTTTAATCCAGTTATTTTTCTGCTGGTTTTCACTGTTGGRTGTCTTGATCATTGCTATTAAATGCTTTTACTCTTGTAACACTCTGCTTCAGTGGACCTGTGGTCAGTCGGCTGCATAATGGCTGAAATGATCTCTCACAAAGTCCTCTTTCCTGGAAAGGACTGTATCCTTCATTGCTCGTCTTTGGTAACCTGATAGTTCTTTTATTTTAATTTTTTTAGCACAGAAAGATGACACTGGGACGATATTGTTGATTTCATCTGTCACAGCAGTAGTTGATTTTTTTCCTAAAATCCTGATTTATATTTTTGCTTTAAATTTAATCTAGAGAACATCCATAACTAAAGGTCGATTGATAAGAGTTTTTAAGTGGCTAATGCCAGATGTTAGAGATCAGYAGAACCAGTCGCTGATATAAAGTGATTTTTATCATAACTATATGGGTTTACTGTTCATTAGAGTTTACCAAAAATGTAAATTCATCACTGCATTGCAATATATGTTTTTCCAATTCAATGTTGTTTCAGAAAATCCTGATTCGATTTAATCCCCTGGCCAGTTTYTCATGTTTTTATCTTTGCACTCCTTATTTAGAACAAGTATTAATGTGCTACTGCTTTATTTTCAGATTTTATTTTTCAAAAATGTCATTTCTGTTTATATGGGCAAGAAAATGGGTATCTAAAAATTATCTARTTGSACTCTAATGAATTATTTGTGTACTACTTCTTAATATGAAACTGATATTGAGMTWTTTAAAGCAATATAAAATCAAATCYCAATTGAATRGAATTGTGACRCATAGAATTTAAAACAAAGTGAATTGAGGTTATTAACAATACCAAGCCCTTTTGTTCATACAAATGAGAATGAGTTAAATTTTATAAAAGAAAAGACTGACAAAATTAAGACAAYTGCTCAAAGTAGGCTGTAAGTTAATAGAAAGTGCACAGAGCTCAAAACATTTGCTATTTCTTGAACGTTTTAAAATATTAAATGTGTTCCAAAGTCACTGTTAGATATAAGATTGTTCCATCAAAAAAATTCATTATTATTAATTCAACTTTGGTATTGTTCTGCTGGTATAGGCAGCCATGCAAGACTCCCTAGTTACTGTTTGACACAAATGTGTAGTGTCATATGTAACGATGCATTTCTTATGGGTGTGCCTGATTTAAATGGACTATCTGTGCTCCATCCTGATTATTTTAGAAATAATTACCTGCTGATTGGTCTATATAAACTAAGCAAGACAAAACAAGTAAACTAAGAATTCATTTTGAAAATCCCTGCCGTGCATTGAGCAGATTTATTTTTTATGATTCGTYTTATAGCTGTGAGGACGCGGGCCAGAATTATCTACAGAGCTGCAGAGACGTTATCAGCGAGATGTAGTTTTCAGTCCCCGTGAAACTCGAGCAGAGAAATGAGTAAATGGCCTTTTATCACTTATAAACGCTTTCAAGCAAACAGCCAACTCCGAGCTAGAGGGAAAGACAAACTACATCCTACCGTGTTAGGCACACACTCGCACTCACACTCACACTCGCACTCACTGAGGGGATGGCGAGGGATAGAGCAACAGCTGTGTAAACTGATAAGCAGGAGAAAGGCCTGGAAGGCTGCAGCCAGTTTTAATCCAGAGCAGAGAAAGCCAGGCTGAAGATGTGCGTTGTATCTTGAAAGCAACAGACCACTGCACCGCGAGAGGACGGAGCAAAACAATGAGCGCTGGTGTTTTGCATTTCATTGTTTGTCATTCACCCTGAAGCCATTCATCACCGTCCATCTGTGCAGCTTTCATATGTCGTTTTTACTGTAAACCTTTATTTTTGTTTTCATAATGTCACTTCAGTTTAATATCTTTGCGTCTGTGTGTCTTGTCTGTGTTTGTTTGTGTGTTCTCTGTTTCCAGTGGACATCTGGTCAGTGGGGTGCATCATGGGAGAGATGGTAAAGGGCAGCGTCATCTTCCAGGGCACCGATCGTATCCTTCACTTGTCATCGTCTTGTTCTTGTCCCCTCCTTTTTTTTTGCAATCTTCACCTTTCGTCAGATCTCCATCAAAGTGTTTTTTTTCTTGTTAATGTTCTCCAAACACACCATTTGACATTTGCTGTGTGTTCGATTTACAACACGCCTCACTATAAACAAAGATCTTTGTTGTTTTTTTCTCTTCAGTGATTATTAATCGGTGAGCTCGTGGTTCAGACGTCTGTAATTCTCTTAATTGTTGAAGGGAATCAGATTGAGGCAATTCATTTGCATTTATAGTGTTTGTGTGTCTGTTTCGAATCTGTTTGGTTGCCTCTCATTCATCAGCAAAATCATTTGTAGCCAAGTGTCAGAGAATGGATGCAGGGCAGAAATGTGAGCGTTAGATTGCTTTTCATCCTGGGAAGTAATTACCTCTCCAGTTGTGAGGCAGCAGCCCATGAAGCTCATCTGTATTTTAGCCATGCTGAAAGGGATATTTGAATTGTTATGTTACTCTATTCAGTTTGTTGATGCAACAAATTTGTCCAGAACGAAGAATTATAACATCCTCTTGAGGAGTTAATGCAAAACTTGGAACAAATACAACTTAATCTTTTTTAAATTTATCATTTATCCTCACATTTTGTTTTCTTGGAAGACAAAAAATACAGTGTATTGTTCATTCAACTGTTTATAGGTTGTCTTTTTTGAGCTTTATATCATGTTATAATGTCGTTTCCTCATCAAACACAAATCCAGTGTTGCTTTGACTCATTCATGCATGTTTGAGAAATCCTTGAAAAGGGTTCCTACTGTAAAAAAAATTAATTAAAAAAATCGTACATTTGTTGCTGTCGATAACACAGGATTACGGTAAACTGACGTGGTTTTCAACAACTAACGTGAACCATAGTCATAGTTTTATCCAATCAGAGCAGAGGAGGGCGGGTCTTCTTTCTGAGCCCAAATGAGAGAACCACAGCTCTTCCTGTCCTCACCAAGCGTCTGGACATGTTCACACCCCCTCCTCCCAAACTGAGCTGCCCAACCTCTGATATAATTACATGTCCATGTATTGTGGATATGAATGTAGGGTATACATTTAATCCACTTTCTTTCATTGATTCTGACTCAACAACTTCTATGTTGTTCAGTTTTTCATTGAATTWACATGATATTAAACCTGTTTATTGGTAAAACTCCGTGGTAGTAGTAGGTAACTGCCGTCGCGCATGGTTCTCGAATTTGAGGAAATTGGTACTGGAAAGTCCTTGAAAAGTCCTTGAATTTGATGTTGACCAAGGTGTGGGAACCCTGCTTGAATCTCCTGTAGCCARGTGGAGCTGCTGGTACAAAGCTCCGCCTGTTTACACAAAGTGCCTTCCTGGAGCTCAGTCCTCAGCCGAGCTCTCACCCCACAGAACACGCCTCCCCCACACAGCTCCTCCACACAAGCAGAACGGATCTTAAAATGGTGGATGTTCATTGCAAAATATAGCTTCATGTTGATCTTTATTTAGAGTTTCTTCACAAAAGGTAGCTCAGCGTTGATGTATGTGTATGAGAGAATGGGAGATATATTACCTAGCTGAAACGTCTCGTAAGAGCCTCTGTGCATCAGAAAACTCACTTTCCAGGTCCAACATGTGATCATTTTGAACAAAGTTCATCTGTATAACTGATATTTTTTTAATGTTGCTGCTTCTTTTTTTTACGACAAAATACAGCGCTCCTACAAAAGGTTGTACTTTTCTGTTTGTTTACATGTGAATATTTTGTTTATGTTTTGCCTTTTACAATGCGCCATATGAGGCCTGTACTTTTCCATAACTAACACGATGTTCAGATATCGACCAGTGGAATAAGGTGATTGAAATTCTGGGAACGCCCAGTCTAGAGTTTATGAACCGACTGATGGAGACCGTCAGGAACTATGTGATGAACAAGCCTCAGTATCCAGGCGTCAGCTTCGCAGAGCTTTTCCCYGACTGGGCTTTTCCCTCTGATTCTGAACATGACAAACTGAAGAGTAAGAACCTTTTGCTCCTACATACCCTGCCCTGCAAAGAGACGGGAAACTAATCAGTTTTTCTCCTTTATGAAATGCTGTCAAGCACTTGTTTCCATATTAACTCAGCCCTTCCTGTGTTGTTCAAACAGCGTGTCAAGCCAGGGACTTGCTCTCCAAAATGCTGGTCGTTGATCCTGAATGCCGTATCTCCGTAGAAGAAGCCCTTCATCARCCCTACATTCACGTGTGGTACGACCCCGCAGAGGCAGACGCTGTAAGAAGACGCTTCCTCTCACCTGGTGGTGCACTTCAGAGGTGCAGTAGCTGTAAATGACCTGAWTTATGTTTCCTTTTTGTTTTTCAGCCTCCTCCCCAGATTTCAGATAAGCAGCTGGAAGAGAGAGAGCACACCATTGAACAATGGAAAGGTGGGATAGTCTGCCCTCTAGAGACACACATTAACACTACACCTCAGCATTTTGCTTCATATTATCTGCTGATAAACAAATATTACTTTAAAATTATATTTTCTTTGTTGTGTATCTAAAACTTCCATATAAACCTCCCTTCATGAAACAAAAATGTAACATAATATGTAACATTCAGTAYATAAGGATAGTACAGCAGATTTCTGGATTCATAAGGAGTTTATTTGTTCAGATGGAGTGCAGCTAACGTAGAGGTTAAATTAATTTATTCCATTATTGTGTGGAGCATAATTGCATTAGACCCTCAAAGGTGTAACTGAATAGATCTGTGTAAAAAAATGTTTTAAAAGAACAGGGAAACATTCAAGTTTATTTTTTTATTTTGTAATGGAGCCATAAAGCAAGAAAGCATGTTTTGAGTCAAAAAGAACTGATGCAGTATAATGTTATATATAATTATCTATACAATCGCGCACTTAAACGTGTTATAGTCTTTGATGCCTTGTGACAGGCAGAATTTCACACATGGCTCAAAATAAGCTAAATGCTATTGTCATTGGAATTTGTGAGCCGACATAATCACAGGTCTGTACTGAAATCCATAAAGCTGCATTTATTTTTAGATCCCAGTGACAGCTCAACATTTTCTGTTTCCTCAAAGAACTTATTTATGAAGAGGTGATCGACTGGGAGGAGAGGAACAAGAACGGTCTGATGAAAGAAGACAGCTCAGGTAATTTCACACATCATCCATCAGATTATCAGCTGGAAGTTTCAGGTGGAACTATAGAGTAGGAGGTGACCTTAATGTATTTAGTATAATGCACATTGAGTATAATGCATTACCTGTTTTTTGAGCATAAAAGCATAAAAACTTTCATACAGACTTGAGGATTATTTTTATTACTCTAAAAAATGAAAAGTGATCCACTGCCAGAGAAGAAGCTGTTCATTAAATTAAAAAGATGGACATCTTCGAGGTCTTATTTAGCACACAAACGCGCTGACGTCCATGTCTTCTTTTTGACTCTGTTGTGAAAATAAAAAACAACTTTAAGCTATTCACAACAATGGGAGGACAGAGGATGATTTATTCCCCCCGACACAATATCATTTCAGTTATATACCAGAAAACACTGAAATTTGTTGGGGTAGTACAAAAAAATTGGTCAAAATTGATTCCTTTTTTATTAATATTATTCTTTTAAGCCACTTCAMTAGAAAACAGAACTGAATATCAGTTTTTTCATCATCAGTGACTTTTAATTTATTTATTTATTTTTAAAATACTATAGAATTTTTTTGTGGTACTACATGAAAAAAATAGGTCAAAATTGACTCCTGTGTACAATATGACCCTCCAACTTTATGGATGATTTTTGGAGTTAAAATTTTCACATTATATACTCATAAATACGGTAAAAAAAAAAAAACTTGCCGTGTATGTTGAATATGTGCTCAAAGTATTATTGTATTCACCGTAGTTTTGTAGGCTACTTCTACATATTTTGGTACTCCTTGTTGTGTTCGTCAGATGCGGTGTCAGGCTCCGCTTCCCAGTCCTCCTCGGCCAACGACATTTCATCCATGTCCACGGAGCACACCTTGGCGTCGGACACAGACAGCAGCAGCATCGACACACTGACAGGGCCGCTGGACGAGAGTCAGTGAGCGCCGCCGTTCGCCACACGAGGGGGTCTGTTCGCTTCCTGCAGTCCTCTGACCCGTTTACAAAGTATCTGTCAACTATCCCCTCCTGTTTTTATTTTTAGCCCCCAAATCTGGTCTTTCTCTTTAATTCTTTTAAACCTTAATGTTGAAAAAAAAAAAAAAATCTTTACCGTGTGATTGGGTGGCGCTTTGCCATCCAGAGGTCAAATCTATCTGCGCTATCTTTTGTGTCAGTTTTGGTTTTCTCTCTTTGTTTTTCTTGGTGAATGTTGAACTTGATCATGCACACAGTTTTTTGGTGTAAGCCTCCATAATGGTTTCAGGTTAATAGGAGAGTGTGTGGCGAAGGAGGGGGCGAGTTGACGTTTGATCTGTATGCCTGTATTTTAATAGGTTTATTTTTTTAGATGTATTGAGACCAGAGATTTTTTTGTCATCAAATTAGAGCAAACGTATCTCAGACTCCTGCCGTCAGCCGCCYTCATGCATGTTACGCCAAAAAGAACAAAAACGTTATGAAGCGATTTGCATTCGTCTGACGTTCAAACCGTGATCTGAAATTAGATTTTTCTCTAGCACGCTGAGAATATTGCTGATTTCCACAGTGGTGCTTTTTGCACTGTTTCTTTTTATTATTATTATTTTTTATTAGCATGTGTGACGTGGAATTCAAGCTTTTCCTTCTAACAGCTAGAAGGTGCAGTGGTTTCTGTGTTACAGTTTTACTTCCTGATATGATGTACTGTACGTAAAGCTGTCAAGTTCTGACACTCAGTGGTTATAGACCCTTTCATTACAGATAGATAAGATTCATTAAGACTGTCAACACATCTGTAGATATATAAACCCTGTTTGACTTAAGGTACCGACTATCAGTGTGTAATATCAAAGGCAGATCATAAACCTGTAAGTCTAAAAGAGGAATAACATTATGACACATGTATTTATATATTTTGTTTTGTTCTTGCAAAATTTTGCACACAAACCACACTGAAGCCCGTGAAACTTGTCAGCCTCCTGTTAAAGCATTTAATAGAAAAGCACGAGTCGCTCTTTTCTGAACCATTCCTTTAGTTGTGAAGAGTTCCAAAACAAACCATGAAATCTGTCATAAACAACACACAAACACAGAAACAAGAATCTTGTTGAGCTTGCATGAAGGCATCCCACCTGTAAGATACTGTAGATTTTGTCATAAAATAAGTCCATTCAGGTCTGTTTTTATTATTTTTTCACTTTAAGTACCATCATGATGCTGTTTGGTTCCAAAAGCCTGACTGCATTTTTTTCTTGCCTTCTAAGCCTTTATGTGTGTTTGTGATATTGGTTTGTACTGTGCATCACTCTTATTGTTATCTCGAGTCATTTTTAAGAAAGCCCAGTTTGTAAATGAAGAGCGCTTGGATGAAGTGTGCCCAYCAACAAAGCGCACGCAGTCGTTCTAAAATAGTTCAAGAGTCGGGGGAGTCTTTGACTAGAATCCGGACCCTGCAACCTAAAGAGGAACCTTTTTTAAATGAACTGCAGAGCTACCTTTTTTTCCCTAACTGATTGCACAGTGTGTTGGACAAGCAGAAATATGACACTACAGAATCACAGAGGACACCATGTTGTACACAACCATGATTTTATTCCTTCTGTCATGCCTTAAAAAAAACAAAAAAAACAAAATCCTGATGAGTGGCCAAGTCGTTCTCCAAACCCTCAGCTCTTCTTAGAGCTCAGAGATGTCCCAGGTGATTGTCATGACCACAACATTATCACTTGGCCAAACATCTTTTCCCCATACTCAGACTAATAAAGTGGACATCAGTGATTCTCTGGTGGTTGTCGTGATCTTTATAAGACAAATACAGTTTATTTCACATTGTTATTTTTTTTTCATTTAAGCAGGAGTATGTTTAACTTTGTGACATACTACCATCAAAGACCTTAGCTAGATTTTAAGACACCTTTTCAGACCTGATCACATCAGACAACCTACAGGTGAAGTTTCTCAAAAGTTCTTGACGATGTATTCCGTCTTCTTCGCCTCGTTGTTGAGCTCTCCAAAGGTGTCGAAGAACTGATCCATCTCCCTCTGCAGCGTGGCGTTGCGCCGCTCCGCGGCATCCCGGGCGCTCTCCGACTCCACGATCTTTGCCTGGACGACTTCGTACCAGTGCCGCTGCTGCGACAGGTTCGCTTTCAGCCGAACGACCTCCGCCTGCAGCTCGTCGTTTCGCTGCTCCAGGCTGGTAGCATGGAGAGGAAGGGATAGGAATTTTTACTGAAGTCAGAGTTTTGGTGGAAAAGAAGCGGGTTGGATTCTCCTTCTAAAGGTTAAAGGAGTTATAAGTGTGTCAGAAGTTTCTCTAAATTTATACTTGGCACAAAAAGTAAGAAAATTAAGTTTGGTAGATTATTTCTTTGTTGTAACAATGCTTCTTGGCAATAAATCTTACACCATTGGAAAGCCTGTTATTTCCTCTTTTGTAAGGAACATGCAGCAGTAGAGCTGAATATGTGGGTTGCACATATGAAATATTTGCCAAATCTCCTCTGCTGTTGCTGTTGACACTTTTGTGCTTGTGGTACCCACAGGTGCTGCCAGTCAGGTGTCTGGTACAAGATTTAATGCCAAGAAGCATGGTTACAACAAAGAAATCTACCGAACGCAAATTTCCTTTTTTTCTTGAGCTAAGTTTAATTATTCAGCTTGTCAAAAATATTTGTAACACCCTTACTTTAACAAATGCATTCTTTAAAATCGAGTCAAACTTATAGAAGCCCATTTAAAATTGTAAGTTGTCAATGTCACTCACCACCTTGTAGGCCAYTGTTTTGAAGAGTTCTTGTGATCTGTTGGAGCCTCTCAGTTAATACCCACCAAATTTTAGTTCAGTATCTGTAAAAATGACTGAGTTGTAACCCTTTTGTGTTTGCTATGGTTGACTAGCTGTGGTGGCCATTTTGAACTGACTGATCCCAAAAGTTACTTTTTTAAAAAATATATTTCCAAGAGTCTCTATATCCGCCTAATAAGTAATAAGATATTTTGCTAACAAACAAGGTAACCCATACAGGTAGGCACATGCATTTGCATGATTGCTGGTCTTTCATGGTGGCAGGCAACAATTTTTTACCAATATTTTGTAATATGTACATTTAAAACAAAACAAAACCAAGCAACTGCAAATTCTGACCAGTAATTTATCTTCATTCATGACAAATGGGAAGGTCTGAGAGACCCACTTCTCCTTGTCCTCACCGACTTGAACCAAAGCCTGACATGAGGCATGCTCTATCTTTATCAGTAATAAATGGGGTATGTGTTGTGTCTAGGTCAGCAGCATGGACCCTTAAATTAGCTCTCTTTCCAGTGTCGTGAGTCGTGTTCTATATGTCAGCCACACAACGTGTGCTTTTTTATTTTCACTTTCCACTGACCAGCTGTGAACTTGTGCAAAGTCAGAGGGAAGGATGAAAAGTATTGTTTTATTTCYTCTAACAGGGTCAGTGTTTGGATTATCAAGTGTCAGGAGAGAACTGTGGGAAACTTCAGCTCTGGGATCTAAACAGGATATAGGGTGAAGCTCGGAGTCAAATGAGGAACCAAAACGGCACATTTTACTGGATACACACGCTCCGCTTTMAAGGATGTGAGAAAGTTGTGCTACTCTGCAGAAAATATACTGTAAGCTGAAAATCTCAGGTCAGAGGACTGAAAGTTTTTTTTTTTATGAGCATGTTCTAAAAACGTTGTTTTACATGTAGCAAAGAGAAACTTTCAAGACAATTTGAAAATCACCTGATAATCCGAGCCTCGTACTCCTCCTTCTGCCTGATTATCTGCTGCTGGAGGTTGGTGAGGATGCTTCGAAGAGCACTGGCCGAGGGGTCAGCGAGGGGTACRGGAGGAGGCACCCTTGGAGACAGTGTTGGCTGAGCTTCAACAGGAAGCCACGGGACCTGGGATGCGGTTTGGTATGGCTGTGTGGAACCTGCCYTAGGATGGTCCATCTGCACTAAATCACAGGATACTGAGTCCAGCTCTGTCTCCCGTTCTTGCTCCTTGTCCTGGTCCAGCTTAGCAAGAATGATTTCACAAGACGACCAGGGGCTCTTGCCTTCACTCGCAGTGTCGTCCTGCAACAGTTCTTCTGGGATCAAAGCTTCGTAGGCGRGCTCCTGGAGGCTTGTTTCCATGTTGAAGACTTCCTGGAGGCTGCCAGTTATTCCAGCGTCAGTGAGGTTATCATACATGGACAAAGCACTCTGATGCTCCTCGCTCTGTGATGGGCTGGGGCTTTGGCTCAGATAAACCCCCTCCTCTGCTCTCCAGTAAACTCCCTGTTGTCCTCTTGCTTTGTTCATGGCTGGTCTCAGCTCCGACTCCCAGGCCAGTCCCCCCAGGTCTCGTCTGCAGCTGTAGTAGCCACGATCTGGCCAGGGTCCAGGTTCTCTTCCTCCAACAACCGCTGTCTGAACTTCAGCCAGAGCTGGGACCAGACCGGGCGGAGGGCTGCTGGGTCCCGGGGGTCTGCTTACTAAAGGACACACTACCCTACACTCCATTTCCTTCTCCCTGGCCTTCTCTCGCTGGCCAAAAGGTGGGCAGTTGTCGTACGGGGGGTCCGTGGAGCAGGAGCTGACTGTGGTGGGGGTCTCAGTGGGAAGACAGGGCAGCTCCATGATCCAAGCCAGCACATGGGGGTCCAGAGAGCAGTAGATAACCCTGCCCCTTTTCTGTCTGTAGTAACTTGGGTTTCAGGGTTTGGATTGTGGATTTGTGAGTGGTGCATGGAGAGCTTCCCACTTGCCAAGTGCTGATCTGACAGGGAGGGCAGGGGAGAAGAAGGTGTAGGAGACCCCCTCCCCTTTGACCGTTCCTCCACTGTGCCTCCCCTGTTAGACAGGTTGTGGCGCGTGCGTAGATGTGTGTATGTCTTTAAGCAGGACTGACATCAGCTGTTACTTTAGCACCGCTTCTGGGGGAGGGACCAGGGTGTAATATAGTCGGGGCTCATTCCTAAAGACAGTCACACATAGCTGGGGCCACAGAAATAGATGGTAGTCATGGGCACAAATTGTGAAACATTTGCAACAAATCTTCACACGAAATTGGTGCAAGAAGAACAAAACCACAAATGGTCATGAACTTGACAATTTCTGAAGCTTAAGTTTATTTTTATAGRGCCATGTCACAACAAACGTCATCTCAGGGCACTGTACAAAAAAACAATCAGTCTAAAGAAGCCAGCAGATTGTGTTGAATCACTTCATCACTGATCACTGTCTCCCTTCCTGAGCAGATCCAGYCTCAGGACAGGTGGCCATCTGCCTCCACCGGCTGGGTTTGGGAGGACAGAAGAGGTACAGAGGACACAGTAGGACTGGTCCTGGTGTCTTTTTTTATACAGGAAAAAAGACAAAGGATAACACGTTATTGATAGAAAATATTTCAAATAGAAACACACTGAGTAGAGCTAGACCGCAGCAGAGAGTGTAAATGTGATCAGTTTGTCCTCTAGTAGTCTTAGCAGCAGAACTGAATAAATGAAGAAACAGCCCTATTTGTGAGCCATCACATCGAAACGAGGATTAAGTCTAAAAGTGGGATATGGAGAAACAGGCAAATATAGTGCTTTGACTAAAATGTTAAAAATTGCATTTTGTCAAAATATAACAAATAAATGCCTTATCAATGTATCATTTGAATGAACTGTCTGAAATATAATCATAAAACAACATTTTGAAGCACTTTTTCAGAGTAGTAACAAAAAACCTGATTTTGAAGAAAAACGCCTTAAAGTTTTGAGATTTTGCCTGTGAGCTAGCAAAGTTTTGTTTCTTTCAAACTGGGAAATCTCAATATTCAGATATTACTTGAGGTTTCCTCTTTATAAGGACATCKAAAATTCCTCATTAAAATGACAAAATTAGGATTCAGACCAAACATTTACGTATTATTGTAACCAACAAGACAAATTAAGTCATATATATGGATTTACATATGATATCAGAATGAAGCAGGTATCAAAATACCTGCTATAGCTTTTAAAGCCAAGAATCTGAAAATGTAATTAGATCATTTTGACCAAATTTGACTTAATCCTCATTTTGATATGAGGGATCACAATCCAAAAGGAAAGTCTTCAGTCTAATCTTAAAAGTAGACAGTGTCAGCCTCACAGACAGAAACTGGAAGTCGGTTCCACAAGAGAGGAGCTTGATAACTATCACAAGTAAACCTGCAGTCTGAGAGTGAAAGTGCTGTCTTAGGAAAATAAGGAGCAATGAGATCTGTAATATAAGATGGAGATTGGTTATTGAGAGCTTTGTATGTTAGAAGTCAAATAAGAGAAGATTCTTGTGTTTTTTTTTATCTGATTTAGAAGAGAATGTCTCTTTGAGGTTAAGGCTACCTGGGGTGGCCTAAATACAGTTCTGGGTGGAACAGAGTTTGTCCCTTCGAAGGCCCATCAGAGGACTGAGAGTCCAAGACAGTTCCTTGATAATTTGACTCGAGGTGACCCCTACAATCTTAAATTCTATTCTTTACTTCAGGAAGTGGAACAGTGTTAGGTTCACCTGAGACAGAGTGGACGGTTTAACCCAAACCCAACAAAATAATTAAAGAGGTTTAATAAAGTATGTTTCTTAAGCATTATTTTCCAAACATATATTGTGTACTTTATGTAAAAAGTTCACTTTGCAAATGGTAACTTTTTTAGGGTTTGTTTTCTGTTTCTTTGGCCACAGACATGGAGTTTGTTTTTTTTATTTGAGCAAAATTCATTTCCCTATGGACAGTGTAAATATTGTTATTGCTCAGCAGCACATATCACTCTCCATTTGGGTCATTGTCCACAAACTATTGTTTCTGTTTTTATAAACAAGGAGACATGACCCAAAAAAGTTCAGGTGCTGCATAAATAATTACACCTTAAAAAGTCTTAAATTGTAAATGAGCAGTAAAACTCCCTCTGCCTAAAGAAAAACTACCCAAATTATACAATGTATTAAAAAAAACTATAGTTATGTAAATAAATATAATAAATATGTCACTAAAGAGAGAATTCAACAGTTACAGTATATAAAAACAAAATACTTTCAAATAAAATAACAGAGAAAGATTTCGCACAGCCTACATAGATGTTAGTTTTTACCACAAGGTGGRGCTTCAGACAGCATTATGAGCAGGTTTGGTTTTATTATTATAGAATGGATCTTTAGAAACTAACATGACTTTTCACAAACATGTATTTACCCAATCTCCTTTCTTATTTTTAAAGATTTCCTGAAAGCCCTATTGTTCAGATTCAGATCACTCATGCAGGTTACAGCAAATTTATTTTTAGTGTCACAACTCTTAAAGCACGACTTTAGGGGAACAACAATGCAGGTGTTTATGTTAAACTGTTGTCTTTCAGTGACTGTTGACATCGTGTTGTTGTGGTTCATGCTTTCTGCAGACGCTGTCTTGTCACTGCAGTGTCTTTCAAATCAAAGGCTGCTCTGCAAACTTCGTATCTGCAGCCGCACACCAAACACTAAGGTTGTCTGTCAGCACCGATAAAACTGCTCTTTTATCTGCCCTATGCAAATCGCCCGGTGTCCTTTAGGGCTGCAACAGACGAGATGTTTTCTCTGCATTGCAGTTGTTAAAATGTCGTCAGTTTCCTAAAGCTTTGTTTTGCATTTAGAGTAGAAGGTGAGATATTAAAACTACCTCAGAGTTTCATTTAAAMAAACAATATCCACACACCCCATCACCCTGAAACCTGATCTACGACCGTGAAAAGCCTCTCCTTGAAAAAAAATCCCTTATCAACCTTCTCCATCCTCCTCCACTTCCTGTGCATCTGCGTAGTTGTTTGTAGCCATGACAACACGATCCATGGCAACAGAGGTCCCCACGGTGCTAAATAATAAAAGGTGGATGTACTGGAGGTAGGGAAGGGATCACTGTTTAAGCAAGTGTCTCAATGGGGAGTAATCGAGCCGGGCCTTTGTTAACAAGAGCCAGAGTGTGTGCAGCCGAYGGGGGAAGTCTCTACAGGCAACCTGAACTGCTGACCAGCTGAGAAGCTCGGCTGGAGGAAGTCATGCTTTCAGACGGACCCACAAATTCACAAGTGGGTGTAAGAAGGAGAGGAAAGCCCACGGAAAGTGTGGTGATGGATGTGAGCAGCAGCGACTGGAGTCGAGTGCACAGAAAGTAATTTGTGCTGTCGGGGACAGGACAGATAAGAAGAAGGCAGCTTTGTCTGTGTAGAAGGAGGTGTTTTCCTGTGTGCAGGTGTGTTTCAGAGAGATGAACACCACGGCCTTTTCCCTCCCTCTCTGTGTGCAATCATGAAAGCTGCAGATAAATTACACACATTGCTGTTTCTGTGCTTTTTACTGCCTAAAAGTCCCATTAACTGTCACTTTCAAAGTTCATAACTAGAAATTCAAGAACATCAGAATATGAAAATATGTTGGTTTTGAATGATTTTCGGTCAGCATCAGGGGTTTTAAAGAAAAACAGCAACCTTTCTGACTTCAATTTTTTCAGACATGTGTAAATACATCTGTAAATAAAAGTAAACCAAGGTATTGTGGTAAAAAAAAAACAATCTCAGGTAAAACAAATGAGCTAAAAAATAAAATCTAACTTTGGATTCACGTATTCAGAGATCTGTGTGTTTTATTTTCTGAGTCTTTATAACCAAAAAAAAAAGTTCTTCCGCTGAAAAAAAGACTAGAAGGTCACAGATCAGCAAGACATCCATTAAAAGGCAAACATAGTCWGAGTGCCAAAACATGTGAGACTGAAAGCTTTAATATACACACACCGGTCACATTATTAGCTACACCTTGCTAGTACCAGGTTGGACCCACTTTTGTCTTCAGAACTGCTTTAATCCTTCATGGCATAGATTCAACAAGGTACTGGAAACCTTCCTCAGAGAGTCTGGTCCATATTGACATGATAGCATCARGCAACTGCAGATTTATCASCTGCACATCCATGATGCCAATCTCTCGTTCCATCACGTCCCAAAG